CTGTCATCATTTGACTAATCCCTGGCTTTCAGTCCCTTCTAGTTTTATTGGTCTCTTTTCCCAGGCAGCACCCTATGGTCCACCATTTGAGCTATGCCTTTGTTAGCATAATAACATAAGCCAACATTTATTGCAACTTATATATACCACATCTCACACTTTATAAGGAATTTGGCACTCCCCAAAGAACAGATGAAGTAAGCATTATTATTACCGTCATTTTCCAAATGAGGAAACTGAAATTGGAAGAGGTGACCTTAATCTAGGTCACATCACTGGTAATTGACAGAGGCTGGACTGGAATCTTAGTAGTCTGATGTCAGCTCAGACACTCTTAATAACTGCCAACCGTCCTGATATTCTGCCGTGCCCACCCAGCCACTTCCCAAACCTGGGACATCGCCATTATCTGCTCGCATTGCTGCCATTATCTGCTCGCATTGCTGCCATTCCCAGACTCTCATGCATTGCTGAAGGTAGTCATAAAGTTATACAAACTGCCTTTCCCTAAGAATGAGAGTTTAACTTCACCCTAGTCCTCACGACTTCTCAGGAATCCGTAATAAATTTCCCACAGTATGTTTTACAAAACATCTCCACCTATCCTAAGTCCCTTTTCTTGCCTCATTATCTTAGCAGGCAACCTTTCTTCTTACATTTTTTTGAACAGATATAGGCCACTTTTCCCAAAACTTCTATTTTGCACTCTTCAGAGTTGTTTCTTTCCCCATCTTTGCCTTCTTATTCAGAAGTTCTGCCCCCTTCTTGGAGTCTAGGTTCTGAATGAACACAGCTTACTAATTCTGCGACACTGCGCAAGTGTTTTTTAACCATTTTATTCCTCAGTGCCTTCATCAGGTTGTTGTGAGGATTAAATAAGATAATATATGTAAAGTTCTCAATATGGAGCCTGGTACATTATAAGTTTTCAAAACATCAGCATTTTTACTACTGATTCCATTTGTTCCCTAACATCTTCTCCTCTACTTAAAAACATACTAAGAATAGTCTTGTTCTCTAAATATACTTTAAAAGCAACATAGCTCCAGATGTGCCCCATTTCCCTATATGTGCCTACTAATTCTATACACTTAGCTTTTTAATTCATTTCATAAGATATATCTATATGACACAAAATAGAAGGGATAAATGCCTGCAACTTCAGGTTAAAGATATCATGCTAAAATTTACTCTACTTAAAGCAGGAAGAAACCAACTGAATCTCTTTATGCTATCAGAAATGTTAGTTTTATTAATGATGCCAAGATATGCAAACACAAAGAATTAAATGTAAGAGGAAGAACTTTCAACTTAGTTAAAGATTAAATGATAAGTTCAACCCTCTTCCCTTATTCAAGATACGAGTGAATAGGTTTTATAACCTGTAATTTCATCTACAAAATGGGTATTTAAATATCTTCTTCTGTTATGCTTCACAGGATAGCACAGAGATGACTGAGATGCTCTCACAAGATATAAAGTCAGATATTAATTTCAAATGCTTAATTGAAATCCATTGTTTAATTTGGCAACTTATATATTGCATTTCACTACAAACTGCCATTTTCTGAGTCCATTCAATTTCCTGTATTATCAGTGTATAAAACCTGCACACTGCATAGTTTTTCCTAAAATATTCAGTAGATGCTGCAAGACTAGCTATAGGTACTTTTTGGTGAAGCAGAGCTTCTCTAAACATGCCTTCAAAGACAGACAATTTTTTTAATTGTTGTTTTCTTGTTTGTCTGCTTGCTTTGTTTGTTTTTTAAATGCTTGACATGAATAAAGTTCCTTCTTTGGATAATGTTTAAAATGTCTGCAAAGAGAGGGAAGATAATATATGTTCCCCTCAGGATGTGCTATTTTGCCTGGGACCAGGAATAATTCACAATGGCAACTATTGTTGGTTAAAATTCAGCTCCCACTCAGGTATATACTCAGACTCAGTGTTCTAGATTAAAAGAGATTTAAGAGATTTAACAACCAAATACAATGCATGGTTCTGGGATAAATCCTTGTTTGAACAAAATAGCAGTAAATGACATTTTAGGGAAAACTGGGAAATTTTGAATTAGATTAAGTTTTAGATGACATCAGAAAATTAGTGTTACTTTGTTTATGTGTGATAATGTTGTTATTTATATAGGGGTATGTCTTTCTTTTTAAGAGATACATTCAGAAATGTTTAATGTGAAATGTCTTTGTTTCATAAAATATCTTAAAATTCTTCAGGGGGAAAAAAAGAGCAAAATGGGGTAGGGAGAGTAATAGATACATAGTATCCATTTATTCTCTCTACCTTTATGTGTGTTCAAAATTTTTTCATTCACTACTATATACATATCCTACCCCACTAAGACCTCCAAAGTATAAATTTCTATAAATAGAAGAAAAAAAATAAGTCTAACCGTTTCAGTGAAATAGTCAACACTATAGGAAAGAGAGAGTCCAGGACTTATGCTAAAAAGTCATGTCTGACCCTGAGCAGCCATCTGATCTTGAGCAAATAACTGCCTCTCCAGGCTTTGATTTGTTCATCTGTAAAATGACAATGGTCTAAAAGACTTTGAGGGTATGTTCCAACTTTAAAATCCAGAGTCCTTCCATATCAGAGAAGCATCAACCATTTTACTGTGCTGAGGAGTGCAGGGGGGCCAACAGACAAAAAGGGTTCAAGATCCCATTATGCCATGTCCTTGTCATGTCACATTCGTTGGGTACTGTAATGGTTAATTTTATGTGTTGACTTGACTGAGGCACAGGGAGTCAAAATGTTTGGTTAAACATTATTTTGGGTATGTCTCTGAGGGAGTTTCCAGAGGAGATTAGCATTTGAATCAGTAGACGAGTAAAGCAGATTGCCCTCTGCAAGGTGGATGGGACTCATCCAAAACCCACTGAAGGACTGGACAGTACAAAACTCTGAGTAAGGAAGAATTCATTTTCTCTGCCTGCCTGCCTTCAAACTGACACTTGGGTCCTCTGCTGCTGTCAGACTTGGATCAGCCTGAAATGGGCACCTGCCGCTTCTCAGGCCTTTCGACTCAGATTGGAACTACTCCATTGGCTCTCCTGGGTCTTCGGCTGCTGACTACAGATCTTGGGATTGCTTAGACTCCATAATCATGTGAGCCAGTTCTTTAAAATAGATCTCTTCATATCCTGTTGGTTCTGTTTCTCTGGAGAACCCTAATACAGGTACCTCACTAGATTTTTCTGAGCCATTTCCTATTCTCCTTGCTTGTCTACCATCAGGGAGTCACTGAAAGATGGTGATAAGAGGAAAGAAATCGTGAGGATTAAGGCATATTCTGAACCACATACCTCCATTGGCAACGTTAAACTTCACTCCAAACTCTCCCCCTGGTCCTCCAGGGCAATGGCTGGCTGTTAGGATGATTCCACCAGCTGCTTTGATCTTCCTGATAATGCAGGAAACAGCAGGAGTAGACAAGATGCCATTCTGTCCAATAATCAGTCGTCCAATCTAGACCAGCCAGGAAAAAAAATATCAATCCAGTTACACAGAACAGAAGTACATTTCAATGGGAAAGTGCCCCGAGGCAGTTAACACACAGTAACTATCACTTGGCAAAAGGAACTAAATGGGCTTTAGGTTAGGGGAGGAGAAGGGCAGGGGGAACTTAGGCATTGTCTCTTCTGCCCAATGTCACCAAGACCATTTGGGACACCCACATCTAGCAGTCAATTATCAACCTATAAATCACAACTGCCTCATTGATTTCCAGTAGTTCAAAACATCTGCTTTTGATGACCAAAGGGTTAGCTTGAACCACACAAGTAGTTCTTAGTTTGTTACTGGCTCAGAAACTACACATTAATATACTAGAAATTACAAGAAAAAAGAAATAGAGAAATTCTATGCTTCACCACTTCCTTTGCCTTAGCAGGAGCTCACAGAAGGGGACCTGTCTACAGCCTCATTTTCAGCAGACGTATTTTAATTGCATTCGGAATGACCATGCTCCTGAAGGCAAGAATTCTATTTCTGCCACTAAGTGACAGCATGTGCTGGAGACATTTGAGAAACTACCCAGTCATGCTAGGCAGAGATCTGGAAGTCATCCACTGGTGTGGCCAGACTCTTTCTATAGCTACAAAACTAACTTTTAAAAAAGAAGGCAATACAGCCCTGCAAAGCATTACTTGGTACACTTTGTCTTAAAATAGGGCCCAATGTCATCCAATCCACTGGTTCTCAAATGATGCTACAAATTAGAATCACTAAAGAAGCCTAGAAAATTCCTAATACTCAGACTGCATCCCAGACTAATTGTACTGAAATCTCTGGGGGGTGGGATCCATGCATTTGTAGTTTTTAAGATTCCATAGGTAATTCCACCAATGTTCAACCAAGTCTGGTGATCAATCCCCTTGCCACTCAAAGAACCAGCAGCAAGACCATCATCTGTGAGCTTGGTAGAAACGCAGAACCTCAAGGCCCGCCTTAAGAATTAGTGTCTTAACAAGGTGCCCTCTCCTCCTTTCAGATCATTCATTTGTCCATTAAAGTTTGAGAAATACTGATGTATCCTACAAGCCAGCTCAACAGCAATGTTACCCTGCCACCAATGACAGCATTGCTAGTGGTTGGTCTCTGATCAAATACAGAAAAAAATACCATAGAGAGCAAACACAAGAGCTCCAAAAACAAAGCAGTCTTGGGGTGATTTAGTATGGAAAGACCTAAACACCACAACATCCCCAGAATACATAGTTTTGAGTAGATGAGGTAGATTATAAACAAATAAACCTATTATTATTATTATTATTATTATTAAGTGGATACATATTAGGAAGAAAATCAGGCAGGTTTTGTGATAGAGAATAATAGGGTATCAATTTTAATAATAACAATAACAATAATAGCAATAATAGCTAAGTGAGCTTGGATTTTATTCAAGTATAATGAGAATTCATCTAATGGTTTTAAACAGTGGAAGTGACCTGGTATCATTTACGTTTTAAAAGATCACAGGCTGAGCAGTCCAAATGACTTGATTAAAAAGTAAGCCATATCATGTCAGCAAAACATTCCAATGGCTTTCCTTGTCCCCCACCAACCCAAGGTAAAGCCAAAGTCTTCATCACAATGTGAATGACCTTTATCACATGCCATTCTCTACCTCCCTCCCTCCTTCTGCTTCAGCCACACAGGATGGTTTGCTGTTCCCTCAGATACATCAAGCACCATGAAGGCTTTCTCATTTGCTTTTTCCTCTGCTTAGAGCACTCTTT